TTTTGAGACACTCGAGTGTTTCCTCCCAAGGGGAGGTGCACCGTTCCTGGAAGTACTGCAATACCAGGTCGATGCGCGGAGTGGACGGAGCAAGCCCCTATTCCATCTCCCGGCTCCAAAAATCCATTTAATATATTGTCCTCGGATAGAGGACGTATCAGATATTAAACTGATAAGAACAGATACTACACTTGATCTTAGCCAAAAGGCCGAGAAGCGATAACCACGTCCTCCCCAGCGCATCGACACCCTCCCTCTCACTCCTCTTTTGGGTCACGGTGAGAAAAGTCACCCTCAAACGAAGGCTCACCCTCTTTCCTTAGACTGGACAGTGTGTCATCGTCACAACTCCTAAGACATACTCAGTTTATCAGATCGCTTAACTTGTTCGGGGCTTTCACGCTTTTTATTGTTTTGCTCCCATAGCTCGCGAGAGAAACAGCCACTTTAATTTGCATGTCCCGCCCACACACGCGCCGTTTCCTGGTTTCCTGCCGTCAGCGCCGGCTCGCGCGCGCTCGCGCTCTCTCTCATTCTCTGTCTCTCCCTCTCTCTCTCTCTCTCTCCCTCTCTCTCTCGCCTTGAAAGGGAAACGCGCCTGTAGCGGGAAAGCTGCCTCAAGTCTCATTTCCTTGGAGAAAGCCCAGAACGAGACAAATAGCTCTGTGAGGTTTTTCTTGGCAGCGTTTTTTTCTTCTTAAATTTCTTTTCGCACGTACAGCAACGTTGAAAGATTTCTACCGTGAGCACCCACCACATAACATCATGGATCTGTTGTGTACTGTACATACATACACCGACACAGATGCAGATACATATATATCCATCCCTCTACCCTTTTACTAAGTTGTCTTGCTCTGGGAGTTATGAGATCAACAACCTTTTCTCTTTTTTTTCTAGTTTCTCTTTTGAGCAGTTCTATTTGTAAATAGCGGTATTTCATGACTTGTATTCTCGTTTATAGGCCTTCCAACGGGGGGGGGGGGGACTTTGCTTGTTAGAATAAAACGCATTCCATGTCGCAGTTCCCATATGGGTCCATCGGTGGACCCTCTTAATAACTTGTCAACGCCATCCAGCCAAAGACCACCAGGAACACACCTGTAATGAAAAGGGTTGGGTTACCGCTTGCTGCAAAGTGAGAAGGAACCCGCGGGGCGCCTCAGTGAGAGGGTGTCAGGAATGGCTCATTATATACAGGATGTAGGCTTGCATTAGGGGGCTTGGGGAAGGTTTAAGTGAGCGAGGCCTTCCTTTGAATGGGATGCGAAGGGTGGCGGAATTGCCCCCCTCCCCCGCCGCCCGCCAATATGCCACTTTGGCGTAAGGATTATTTTGAGCTCAAACAGGGGGAAAAAACTCTTCCCTCCCCCGATTTGCCTAAAATCAGGACATAAAGGTATACAGGAGTTAATTACGGACAACCCTGGATCCTTATCAGCCCAGAGACTGGCACCAGAGACTCTACCTAACAAATTTTACTGCCCAGCCCTTATCTTCCACTATTTCCCCATATAGTTACCATCCCACAGTTGGCCAGCCTAGAAACTCAAAGCCCTTTTACTTTTTGTCACTTTTCTGAAAATTTATTATTTTTTTGTTTCTGTTTGTTTTGTTTTTCAAAGATTCTTTATTTGTATATTTTATTTTCAGAGAGAGAGAGAGAGACGGAGAGAGAGAGCACACACACGCAGGAGGCGGGGCAAAGGAGGGGGGGAGAGAGAGAGAGAGAGAGAGAGAGAGAGAGAGAGAGAGAGAATCCCCAGGAGGCTCTGTGCTGTCGGCCAGTGCAGAGCCCGACTCCAGGCTCGATCTCATGAACCATGAGACCATGACCTGAGCAGAAACCATGGGTCAGACACTTAACCGACTGAGTCACGCAGGCGCCCCTGTTTGTTTTGTTTTAAGCGGCTATGTAAGCCCAAGTTCCAGCCACCCCATCGGGTTATTCATCCCTGACTTTCTCCTGTGTATATATGAGATACGTACACTAATACACTTCTGTTTCTTTTTCTCTTTTTAATGTGTCTTTTGCTACAAAGCCCCAGCCATCCTCCCCTTCCCACCACCCCCAAGAACCTTGAAGGGGAGAAGGACAAAGATTCGCCCCCTCCAGACAACACACACACACACACACTCTCCTACAGATGACCTCAGGCAGTGGGGGTAACTCAGTGATTGGGTAGCTGAATACATCTTACCTAGAAGAAAGGAAGAATAGAGCGAGGCCAAAACTGCGACTGGGAAAGTAGCAGCAGTTACTCATATTAGCTAGGATAGGGGGTGTTTGGTCAGTTTTGTTGTTTGGACAATATTCTTCTTTTTTCTTGTCTCAGTTCGGAGGCGACTACGGAGTGGCCTTGTTTCTGTCTTGATTCATCACGGGTCACAGAGTGACCTTAATCTGTTGATGTTGAAAATAAATAAAGGAGGGGCGCCTGGGTGGCTCAGTCGGTTGGGCGTCCGACTTCAGCTCAGGTCATGATCTCACACTCCGTGAGTTCGAGCCCCGCGTCAGGCTCTGTGCTGACAGCTCAGAGCCTGGGGCCTGTTTCAGATTGTGTGTCTCCCTCTCTTTCTGACCCTCCCCCATTCACGGTCTGTCTCTATCTCAAAAATAAATAAATAAACGTTAAAAAAAAAAAAAGACAGAAAGAAAATAAATAAAGGAGAGCTCAGCTAAAATGGAGTCGGGAAGCACTGGAAAGGGGAGCTCTCAAGCATGTGCCACTCCTTGCAGCCTGCCTAACCTTAGCGGGAAGAAGGAAGACAAACATTTATTCTGACAAGGGAGACCCCTTTCACATAGGAAGCTTATCTCCTGCCTTTAAGAAAAAGAAGGAAGAGCCCTTGTTGCACCCCAGCCAACAAGGCACTAACCCCCGCTTGCAGCTAATGAGCAGCCGCCAGGACCTCAAACTCCTGTTCTTCTCCAGGGAACCGTGGCTCAAAACAAGCCTCCCCAGCTTCCTCCTAAAACGTAAACAAAGGCTGACCTTCCTTTTGCCTCTTCGGACTTGTCTGCGGTTCACCATAGCCTGCAGGTCCGTGATCGCAATTCCTCTGCTATTCCCGAATAGCTAGCAAAATAGGTTTTTTTGCTAGTAAAATAACTGGCTGTTTTATTTTTCAGATTGCCGCCACTGTTGTGTGAAACTGTTTACGTTCCACGGGAGACCCCCCACAGCCTAGCTGTGAGTGTCAGGCCAGCTTCTGCGGCTGCTTTTCTCTCTGTCTCCAAACCGAAGACACATCGCGGGGTCTTAGCAATCTTATTCTCCCTGTAATCTCAAAACAACGAAACAATTTGCTATTTCATCATCCTGGGGGTATTTTTGCCTGAAGTTATTCCTCGATCCCCAACTAGGACGGAGAAATCTACAAGGCTAAGGAAACGGAATCCCTCAGAGCGGTGAGGCGGCAGTGAAACACCTCACCAGAGTGGCACCCACCATCCCTCAGTTTTCTCCCTGCCTTGTTGCAATTAAAAACAAAGTAGCTAATCATCTTTCCAGAAGGTACACAAGCAGATGGGAGACACTATCCTGGCAGTCTGAATTTTGCTTTTGTTGAATGTCACCGAGAATTTGGAAATTTTCACCTTTCCACCCATAATATGGGCAAAGAAGAGAACTCTGACACGATTAGATGAATGATTAGACTCTGACTAGACGAACCGGAAGATGAAAGCAAAGGACTGGTCTCTAATGAGGAGGGTGAAAGGGATCAACAGGAGTGAAATCTCCGACCGCACGTCTTCAAATGACAATATCCTAGATGAATTTTCTCAGACGCCAGACTCTGCAGGTCAACAGAATTGCAAGCCACCGAGGGTTAAAAACATAAAAAATAAAAATGAAAACAAACCTTCGACCGTTGGGTTTTGACCGTGCAAGTGAAAGGGCGGGCCTACGCCGGCCAACTCCATCTTGTTCTGTGTCCTTCACCTTGACCACACCTCCTCCCCTTGAGTAACCCCCCCCCCCCACCTGCCTAACAGGACTCGGACCCTTCCCCAGCCAATCGGCTGAGGCCATAGCCATTACCTCACCAACTGCCCCTAGGCCCCAATAAAACCTTTGTCCTTTTGAAACTCGCTCTCTCTCCCTGGTATCTCACCGCTGCGTCGCTGCAGGTAGGGGATTGAGCTCGAGCTAGCTCGAATAAAGGCTCTTTTGCTTTTACATCGGACTCGGCTCCCTGGCGGTCTTTGGGGATCACGAATTCTGGGCATAACACAAGAAGAACCAGAAGTAGTGATAAGGCCGAACCTGTTGGAGATGTATTGGAAATACTGGAGAAGCACTATGTCACAGGCCGGGTAGGACAGCCAATGAGCAGTCCGTTGCATTTGGAGGATGTCGCCGGATTCGGATATTTAGACCTTCAAAACCTGGAAAGTATGAAGTATAAGAATGTGAGTTTTGTTGTGTTTAATTAAACTCGTGTCAATTTTAAATAAAGCAGTTTCCCACAGTGCTTGTTAAAAAATTTTTACATTTATTTACTTCTGATAGAGACAGGGCACAAGTGGGGGAAGGGCAGAGAGAGAGAGAGAGAGAGAGAGAGAGAGAGAGAGAGAAAGAGACGGAGAATCTGAACTGAAGCGGGCTCCAGCTCTGAGCTGTCAGCACAGAGCCCGACGCGGGGCTCGAACTCACAAACCAAGAGATCATGACCTGAGCCAAAGTCAGACGCTTAACCGACTGAGCCACCCAGGTGCCCCCTCCCCCAATGCTTTTATTTTTCCTTCTCCTGAAAGGGCCTCTTGGAGCCTGGGTAACAAATGTGTTGAGGTCTATCTAGTTTTCTCCCCGGCACACTGAGAGTTTAGGTGAGCCAGATCGGCCCGGTGCTATGGTTTTCGCCGGCTACAGTCAGTGGCACAGGTGGCACCAAGAACGTGTCAAGGACCTGAGGGTATGTGCAAGGAAATGAATCCAGGTCAATAGGGAGGCAAGGACATTGAGGGATCCGGGGTAGGGGTGGGGTGTAGGTGTGAAGGAACAGAGAAGTGTCAGGTGTCAAAGGGCAGAGGAAGGGTAGAAGGCGATGGGAGAATGTGATGCTGGATGGGGACACGGTTAGAGCAATTGGGAATGACAAAATCTAGCGGGCCGACGAGGGGGGATAGATTTAGCCGCGGTGGAGAAACTGAGAGGCCAGGCGGGGTGTTCGGAAGGAATCGCCCGTGTGACTGTTGAAACTCACCAGGAATGACAGAAGTGTCTCAGAGAGAGACAGCCAGGAGCTAAACCTTCAAAGGCGAAATGAGCTGCAGCTAGCTGGACAGAAAGCACAAGGACTGGCAAGGCGGCGGGGCGGGGGGGCGGCGCGTGTACAACATAAACGGCCGGGCGCGGGTAGGAGGGCAAAGCTCTTTGAGAGGTAAAGTGGAGCAAGACTCCCGGGAACGAGAAATGGAAGGTTTAGAAGAGCTGGCCACCACCGGGAACCAGACTACGCACGAGTGCAAACTTCCGGAGAAAGGTAGAAGAAATCGGAAAACGGCAGCGGAAAGCGGTTGAAGAAAAAAAAGGCTGCACCCGGGAGCGAAACCGGAACAGGGAAGCGGGGGGAATGGAACGAAAAAAGACCGGCAGAGAGTGAGGGAGAAAA